GTTTCTTTTCCTCTCAGTTTCTAGATGTGCAAGGAGGAGGGGGGCAGTTGGGCCAAGATGTATACACCAAGTCAATAAGAGTGCAACCAATTTGATTTATTCTTTTGAAAAGAAATTCTGGCTAACATACATAATAATAAATTCAGTGGTATCAAAATCCACACATTTTTATTCAATAGTAATAGAAAGACAAAAAAAGTAGAGAGAATAATTCATGTGGATCCAATTATCTTTGAACATTCTCATAAAGAACTTTTCACCACCTCTTTTAGGTGCGAACAGGGCATTCAAGTGCTGCAAATGAGATTTTTTCCAAACTTTCTTGTATATAATATGGATCTAATCCTGAGAGTTGAATGAAATATTTGTTTTTTATTTAGTACATATGTACAATAAAAAGAATCTAACTGATACCTCATAAAAACTAGATAAAAATAATAATAACTTGGTCATTCTGATAATCTAATAATCGTGGGCTTTCTCTTTAATGCACCAGGTAACGGGTAAGGATACCTGATAAAAGATCTCGTAGTTTACCTCTCAGCACTGCCTGCAGGCCATACACTAGAGACAAAAATACAGTTAAATTTGAAACTTCTGGACACAAAAAATCATCATCTCTTCCTTTAATTTCTTTTATAAACTATATATGCCACAAACTACAGCCCTAGTGGATCATATTTCTTCATTTACAAGTATAAAAACATAATACACAAAGTCAAAAGTACAAAACTATTTTTGCTTTTGTTTTTATTACGAAAAAAAAGTAAAGCTGATGAGAACTTATTCTTAAAATAAAGGAAAAAAATCATGTATTTCAACTCTGATGAAAAGGAAAAAGTATGTGTGGAACATTTAAAAAAGAAAAATATTACAGCCATGGAACATAAATTAAAACATTATGAAGATGTAGTATAATTACAATAATAACAAACTTAAATAAAATGACAGAAATATGAGAAAAAGAAAAGCAATATTAAGGGGAAAAAAGGACACTTCCATAACTTGGGATGAACTACCATGTTTACAGATAACTAGCTTGTCATGTTCACTAAAAACACAGCACTGCTATTAAATTCAATACAGACATAGGAGCCCTCACAGTCAACCTTGTGTGACTTGATCTTCAATGCTTTAGCCAAGAGAGGAACACATTTTGACAGAAGATAAAAACAGGGAAAGTGGAATAATAGTAATAATAAAAAGAGGTGACAATATCCATTTTCTTCTTTCTACCTAACTGAAGATCCCAACTTATTACTATACTTTGGTGAAGAAAGACTTTTTGACTGTTACTCATTTTCTAGGAGGGGGGACACTGGTCGTATAGCAAATAACGAGCATTCTCAAATTGCGATTCAAACACAAGGAAGACGCCACCTTGCTCCATTTGTCAGAGATAACTTTTAGACAATCTTTATACATATCACGTCATAAGACACACAGTTGTGAATACTATACAATGAAAATAAACAGAAGAGGATAAGGGAAACAAAACTCATCACCTATGCTCTTGTTTCCCCTCACTAGTAGTCTGCTTAAAGAGCGGCCCAAGCCACCGACAGGGCCTTCCCTCAGTTCCCATATAAATCATTCTATGGATATAAAAGTAAAGAAAGTAACTAGGGAAAATATGTTTGAAAAAAAAGAAGAAAAACGTCAATAATATCCCTTTGTAAAAAAAAAAAAAAAAAAAAAAAGAAAAAAAAAAATACACATAAGGGGGAACAAATTTGGAGTTGACATTACTATTGCAATAAGCACTGTGTACAGAATAAAATCTATGACCCTGAAAATTGTAATCTTGATAATTTTTACATTACTGACTCCTGGCAAATAAAGGGAAAAAATCATGCAATATTACTGATGACAACTGTAATTCTTTTTTTTAAATAAATTAATGACCATAATACTACTAACAATAAATGAATAAATAATATTGAAATTTTTTTTATAACAAATATCAAAACATATTGCACTCAACTTCTAGAACACAGTGTTTAACCTTTTTCTTCTTCTAGCCATTGAAATCTGGACGACTTGAAAGCCTGACGGAGAATTAAGTCTTAGCTCCAATATTTCAACTGTGTAAGCAAGCACTTGAGAAAAGCCTCTGTAATATTTTGTGCTGAAAAAGCTTGCATACATATGGGTGTAAATGTTTTGTCTTTCTATACATATATTTGTGTATGTCTTTGTGGGAATATTACCAGTATAATCACAGATAAACCAAGTTTCCACCCTTAAAGAAAAATTATGATAAAAAAGAGGTAAATAGGAAAGACATAATATCAATCTAGGAGCAAATTCCAACAGCAAAAGAAGGCAAAAATCTACAAATAAATAAATGAATTCACTGGAAAGCATTTCTCAGCCAAAATAAAGAGAGGAAAAAATTAAAATGAAAAAGGAAGAAAGGAAAGAAAAAGAATAATAAAAAAACAAGAAGTAATATCAATAACCCTTAAAACACCCATATGGTTTCCTTCATATCCATTACCTTTGAGCTTCTTCATTAGCCTCCAATTCAGAATACAATAATCAGAAAGACTTCTGTGGTGAAGAACTTGTGTGCTCAAGCCTTCTTCCATTTCTTGGTGTATCAGTCATAAGGATAAATATAACACAATCATAATATCTTTCAACATAATTTTACCAGACTATTCTTTTGGTATAATCACTGGGGTTAAAAAATAAAGCTTACCAATGACAACAGGGAAGTAACGGATTCATGATCACAAATTCTCCCTCGTTATTTTTGTTTAACCCAAGAGAACAGAAAAGGTTTTAATGGGACAAATTAGAGAAAAGTGGCATGATGATGTACTTGATATTCTTTTTCTATGTTCTATTGATGCTACTGCATTATGAAATGTGACAATAAAAGTTTTGGATAGTTAATTACAGTGACATTGATCTTTGATATTCATAATAATAATAGCAATCATAATGATAATTATACCACCTGTGACTACAATAAAAATACAAATCAGAAAAAAACAAATGATTAAAAATCAATTTTGAATACTAACAAGTTCTATTAAACTTTATTCTTATCAACCTTTCAGGTTAAGCCCAAACCCACACAAAGGTCCAACAAATGTGTCCTACGACCAAACCAGATTACAGTCAAGCTTTCTAAACCTTTTGTATCATTCAAACTTCAACACAAGTCAGTGTCACCTCTCAGTGAAGAATATATTTTTAAATTACCAGAAGGGATTTTCTAAATGCCTATACAGGTCAGTTTTATAGGGCTTAGCCAATTAAATACATTTGGTATATACCTCATTATTTTACAAAAGTATGAGTAATTGCAAGGTCAATAATTATTTAATAATAATCAATAAAATAAATATGATTAGGTGATTTTTGGTTATCACATGGCAAGGTCAAAAAAGTATATGATGAAAACACTTCTCGCAAAAACAAAAATATCTAAATTATGCTTTACATACAAATATTCTTTTCAAGCCACTTATTTCCATGTAAGGTCAACACAAACGAAAGGCTTTTCCATGCATATGAAAAGCCTTACACTGAAGAATTATAAGGCATAAAGTGCACAAAAGTTCTAAGGTCAATTCAATTGCACCAAGTCATGATAGTTACCGCAGAGAAGTGGTTCTTCTTGCATTAGGCAATACACATGCTTCTTTGACAGTCTCTTGGCATACACAAACACCTCCTTTTTTGTTTTTAGAAAAAAAGAAAGGAAAAAAAAGAAGAGAAAATCTTCCTGTACCAAGATTCCATCAAAGGACCAAAATTAGGTGGCTAATATCTCAATCTCCTGACAACATTCACATCATTCTGGGACAAACTCCGACACATCTGACAGCAACACTCAGACGTAAACATGAGCAATAACCTGCAATTATTGGTTCCTAGCTTATCATCTTTTGAATCCATCCCCTGAGTGCAGTGTAGATAGATGGTACTGATTAAGCATAAAAAAGTCTGTGCTTGTTTATCGTCACCTCCCCCGCGAGCATTAGTCTAAGGTGGGGAGTCTGCGGTGATGTTAGTTTTAATGCAGTGAACACGATGTGCCCTCTGCCATAAGGAGTTTCATAGACAAGCCCTATGGAGAAACAACCATCTGCAGAGAGCCTTCTTAAACAATCCTGCAGAGGAGGTGTCCTTACAGGGTGTAACTGACTCCTTTATGTGATAAAAATATGCAATGACTTTACGCACAGCACTGCCGGGCTGCACCTCCATCCCTACTCCGCTTATCTGGACGAACAACATTGTCGGGATTTTCCTGAAAGTAAACAATCCTATAAATGATTATGCTTTTAAGATCCTACTTGATGAAGCTCCTAGCTCCAACCTGA